AATCTGTCCAATCGATTTAAACTCAAGGAATGTCTCATATCTCAAACAAACAAAAAAATGAAAGAAAATACTTTAGGGAAGTGAATACTTTTGCAGGGTACATTATACCTTTGTTGCTTACCTATATCAATTTGAATGTGTACTAACAGTACAGTTCCAGAAGTGATGAACTAATCCCAGCCTCTCATTTGAAGGTATGACATGATGCTGTCCTGCTGGAACCAAGACCCTCTGAAAAGACCTTCCTTTAGAAAACTGGTGGAGAGAACCGAACTGCTGCTGTCAGAGAACACCAAGAACGTAAGCAGCAAAGATCGGATTTCCCTGCTGTGACTTGACATAATTATTAGTTTTAAACCTGAAAAAAAATATATATATAAAATCCTACAAATCTGTGAAACCCCACAGGTGTACCTGACGCTAAGCAACGCTCCAAATGGTGGTGAGCAGCAGAGGGCGCCGTCGCGGAGGCTTAGCTCTGCATGCAGCACCACCGCTCCCACCCAGCCGTTACTGCAGAGCACAGCCGACGTCTTCCTCGACTACATCTGACACACACACCTACATATAAACTCACTGCTACTTCTAACACCAGAGAAACTTCACCACATCCAGAACACCTGCAGACTAATTCTTAAAACCGGCCATCTTGCATCATAAACATACACTCCTACTGTGTATATATAAGCCTTCAGTGGGCTCTAAGCCTCTAATTACTCATCCTATCAGTGTATTGATTGTCATTGTAGTTATTTCAGGTGCATGTCCATAAAAAGCAGACTGCAGCACTAAAAGAACATTGGATACTTCATCACCCAGCAACACTGGGAGGTCATTTGGCTCACATTCAGCCTTACATTACATCTTAAGATACTTTGACTGAAAGTACATGTGTGACTGAAAGTACAGGAGTGATTACGTTAGACTAAAGAACAGATAGGGCACTGCTGACTACAAGTGATGTTTTTTTGTCAGAGATTTGTTACACTTTGTACAGAACCAGTAGATTTAGGCAGATATTCTAGTGGTGGGATCAGTGAAAATCACTAAGGTGGTTTCAGAATTCTTGTTGCCGTCTAGACAAAAATATTTGCCAAGATATCCAACCTTAGTCCAGTTATTGTCACAGGATTTGTGAGAGATTATTTTTCACCAGGCCTTTGCATACAGATCCTGTTCTGTACAAGGCAGATGTTGTTCTTGGAGAGAAGCCAGTGAGCCCTAGAGGAGAACATTGGCGTTTAGGCGGTGATCCCCAATGACAGTCATGTAAGCCACACGTTGCAGTGCCTTTCAAAAGTATTCTTTGTCCTTTAACTTTCTTTCAGCTGTGGTCATGTTAGAAACACAAACTTTTATCAACTTTATTGCAATTTTATAGATATAATTAAAAGAGCATGGTTTAAATGGTGCATTTCCTCCTCTTTCTCCTTTCTGGTTTCGACAAGAGACTGAAATCTTTTTCCATTCTCAGTTTGTTTTTTTATTCACACACTTAAATCCATTCAGATTAAAAATTTTATTAAACCTTGGTCCTCTAGCTATTTTGATCTTTTGGAGCCTCGTAGTTTTGTTTTTCTCCAGGATTGCTCTGTTTTTACCCCAAGCCATCTGCCTGTCAACTTAAACAAACCACTAACATAAAGAAATAAAAAACTTTTCCACAGCATGATGCTACCATACCTTTGTGATGGATGATGGATGATGTGCAGGGATAGTTTTCTAGAGTTTTGCATACAGGCCTGAAATTTTCCGGTCAGGTCTCATCATACCAGACTTCTCCTGCTTGGCAGCAATCATGGGGCTCTGGTTCGCTTCTCTAAATGAGCAATCTCTTATCCTGGCCGCTCATTTTTGACCATCTTTGTTCTTCTGGGTTTGTAGTTGTGTCATACCATTCTGTATTCAGAATGGATAGAAACTGAACTTTGTGACAAAATCAAAGCTCTGGATTCTGTTTTTTCTTTTTTTTTTTTAAACCTAACCCTGCTTTAACCTTCTCCAAATCTTGATTAGACTTGCCTACTACAGTCCTAGATCGTCATAATGTCTCTCGCTAACATTCTCTTACGAGCCTCACAGAACATCTACCGTAGATTTATTTTGAGCTTAAATTACAAAAAGTTGGTCTATTTGGCAGGTAGCTGGTATTTAATTAGGAGTAAAAGTGTAAAGAAGGCTAATTATAACAGCAACATTTTCCAGATTCTTCATCTTAGTCTTTCACATAAAATACTCTAAAGTGACACTAAAGTAACAAAAATGTGATAAAGTTCAACGGATACGAGTACTTTGACAAGTTCATCACGGATTCCTGCCTATGTGTTAAAGCTTCAAATACTGTGACCTAATCTTCAATTATTGTATGTATATCCAAAATTAATTTCAGGAGTAAAGGCTGAGGATTTAGTGTGCTTTATGTTGTAAAATGTGTATGCAATGTAAATAAAATAGAGATGTGCCTTTAGTTTTGTTTTTGGTTTTTAACGTAATGTATTCTATCCTGACTGTTAGTGTTGAGGCAATAAGCAGATTTCCTCTGCACTCTGTTTTTTGAGATCATTGCAGTTTTGATACGGTTGGTTGAATTGTGATAATAAAGAAAGCATCTGTGATGGTTGAACAAAGCCCACAGTCCGTCTTTTGGTATTTTCCTTGTCTTTGGGATTTGATAAAGTGTATTGGTCCATGGTAAACCGAGTCAATGTTTTTAATTGTTTTAGATCATCAGACTTTAACATAGGTACAAAATGTTGTTTTTAAATCCTTTGATTCATTAAGAGGAAACCCCTTTCTGAAATCAATATTAATCTAACAGATGATTATGTCTCTCTTGGACAGAATGTAATTATTTCAGCCACATTTGAGTGTCTTGATGCAGCAAGACGATCTGAAGCAAACCAGCAATCCCTGCGTAAAACATTATTTTTTTCGAGTGGCGCAGTTAAAGTCCTGAATGAAATCTGATAAACGTTCATTAAGATCCCTGACTGATGTCTGGACAATGTCCCATAGGATTTCCTAGCAGAGCAGAGTTTACAGATTCATCAGTTACAACCAGTTGTCTGCACCCTGGAGCAGTACCTGAACATTATACTGCCACCGCCATGTTTGAAGGGTAGGAGGGATCTAAATCTAAAATTCTGCATATTTTTATTTTTGTCAGGTGTACCTCATGCTTTAAGAAGACCACACATTTTTCCTAATTGGTCCAAATATTTTCCCTAAAGGCAAATGCAGGGATTAAAGCAGCAGTGGGAAACTCCAGTCCTTGAGGGCCGGTTTCCTGCAACATTAGATTCATCCTTGCTCCAACACACTAGAACCATATGGTTGAATTACCTCCCAAGTATGCAATAAATTTTTCTAAAGTCCTTTTATCCATTTACTTGATTCAGGTGTGTTGAGTCAAGGGCATATCTTAAAGTTGCAGGATACAGGCCCTCCAGTAGCCCACCCCAGGATTAAAGTATTCCAGCCCCAGGCCGGATTTCCGGCTCTTATCGATTGCTCGTGGGATAAAAAAAATCACTCTAATATAAATTGATTGTAAATAAATAATAAAAAAAATTAAAGACAATCGAAATCCCTCTTGCATTTGTCAGCCAATGGTAGCAAAGGAGCGCTCTGAAACTAACAGTATTAGCCAATCAGAACAAGGGGGCGGGTCTTAGGAAAGCTTGTTCCTCCTCCTCTCATTTCTTGCTCAAGTCGCCAGAGCTGAAGTTGTAAACGGCGCCGTTTACGGCACCATTTAACGGAGAGACGTGTAAAAAGTCACAAAATAAATAAATGAAACGTTGTGTTTGGAGAGAAGGACGATAGAGAGAACGGAATTGCATGGAGTGGGCACAATGCAGTTCATGAACTCTGGGGAAGATGTCATGACCACAGATAAAGGTCTCAAAAATAAATGGCGCCCGGCCATGGCTGGGGGAGACAGGGCCAAATGGCAAGCCTTTTAGCAGCTGGTGCAGGGAGGTTAGGTTAACCAGGAGCTTCCAGGAACGCTTTGCAGCGAAACTGGATATCAAAACAAATGTGGCGCCTGCTAGTGGTAGATATAGGTGCACTTTCGCCATCTTCTGGCCGTTTTTGGTAGTGGATTTTCAAAAGTCAAATTTAGTCTACAATCATTCATGCAATCTCTGATCCCATGCCCCCACACCCCCCTGGCATTACTAGAAAATACACACACACACGCGCATAAATATCTGTAAATATATATTTATATAAACCAGTTGATTGCATCGACTAATTGACTTGGATGCAATCCCTCACACTAAGCATGACTGTAGTGACAGTGGAGAGGAATAACTCCCTTTTAACAGGAAGAAACATCCAGCAGAAGGGTGACGGCCATCTGCCGAGACCGACTGGGGTTCAAGGAGACAGAAATATATATATACCGTAGGAGTTTCTTGCCTGTGTCAAAAAAGTTCAGGCTCAGGATTTTTTTTTTTTTTTTGCTTAATCCCTGCAAATGTGAGACATGCCTTTCTGTCGTTTCTGGCTTTCATTGAACCAGGAATGCTGACCTTCATGATGGCAACCAAGGCCTATGGAAATCTGGATGTTGTTCTGACCTCCAAAATTTGTTTCTGATGCACCCTTTCAACTAATTTGGAAAAACCAGTAACTCCTTAGGTTTTTTACTGTGGTTTTCCAGGGTCCAAACGGTGATTTATAAATAGCTTTTTTTTCTAATCTAATTGTGGTTTCTCACAGTTTTTTCTTTAGATCAGGACATTATCTGTTGCTTTTTAATCTTCTAGCCAACTGAGTTTTTTCAGTTTATATTTAAGCATGAAAAACTGCATTTTTATTTATTTCTTTGGTTTACGATCTGAAAGATTAAAGTCTATAGAAAATCAAAAAACAAGAAGCTTTTAGGGGGCAAATGTTTGTTTTCCTTTTCAAACAATTCTGTTTAGTAAAGTAAAAAAAAAATCAAAAGAGGTGTAAGTCATAAAGAGAAAAGAAATTCTTTGGAGTTCCGGTTGTGTTTAACATTTGCAACTGTTTTTTTTTTTTATTCTCATGTTGACTGAAATGGGACAGAGGGGAATATAGTAATTGCAAACATTTTGTGTCAAAATATGGATTATTATTACATTTGACTTTTGGGGGGGTAGATAAAAGGAGCACAGTTCAAGAGCAGAAGTAAGGATTTACATACATACAGTACAGGTAGAAGCATAGCACCATTTTACACTGAATACTGGTGTTATTAGTTTTGTCTGTGTACAGTATTATACTAGAACTACACTCTTAAACGGTTGTGTGGGGGAAAAAAAGGTGATAGCTGTATCTGTGGGAAGGCTGGGAGGAAGGGGGCGTGGCTTTCTCATCAACGCTATCGCCCATCAATTATCCAAGACTTCAGTCACAATAGCTTTTTCTTTAAAACCTCCCAGATTAGATGTCAGACACACGTCATCCTTAAACGAAAAAAGGTGTAATTGTGAAACATTCAGAGGTGTTTGACAATAACTTTAAAAACAGTAATGATTGTTTTTCTAATATTTAGGTGGAAACTTGTGATTGATGAGCTCTCTTTCATTCCCCTCCTTTTTCCTTCATAACAAAGCTAGACTAAAATTCTCCGGAATCAAAAATTTACAACATCCATTAGTCTCTATAAAACACCTTTACATTCTTTGGGCTGGGTATCAGTGTCACAAACTAGATCCATTTTCAGCTCTACACACATTCACACACTATAGTTTATAAAGAGGCTCTTTATCACTGGTTGGAAGACCTGCTCTCTTCTAGTGATCCATTTCTGTTTATTTTTTATTATCTAATGGACTTTTTTTTTGTTTTGCATCTTAATAAATCTGCACTAATACCAGTGCTGTGCATTGCCTATTTACCAGCATGCTTCTTCAGCTGTGCATGTTTTATATGAAAATATATACTGGGCTACAGTGAAAGTCATCACACATACGAAGTCTCTCTCACACGACCCACATCAGCAGGTTTTAGCCGTCTCCAAACAGGCTCCAACAACACAGACGATTCTCAAGATAAACATCACTTCTTTATACTGCAACGCAAGAACTGATTGGCTATCTCCGGGGGGGGGGAGCAAATACTGCGACCCCTCCCGACTGATACGAGAAGTAGGTTCAAGGAACGAGGATGCTATATTCACACAAACAAACACGCGCCAGCTTCTCCTACGCAAACAACACATTCTAAACACCCCTTTGCCAACGACTACACACTCTGCTCCGAGGCTTTTTTTTCTGTTTGATATGGCTTATCGCTGTAGTACACACAGGCTGAGCCAAACATCCGTTACAGTCTTTATGCATGGACCCGGGCCCAGTTCTGGTTTCAACTGCCATTAGGGACTTGAGATAGAAGTGAAGAGGACTGCATGAAGATTTCTGAGGCCTATCAAGAGAAGGAAGGATGAAACACTGATGGCAAAGCAGACCATTACATTTTAAATCAGATTTGGAGGTGTTTGGAATACATATGAAATCAGGGTTTGTTTGTTTTTCCTGTTGTAATTATAAAAATGCATTTCTTAACCACTTTTCTCCTTCATTTTAGGCATGGGCCGTTTGCGGTTTAAAGGTATCCGGAGACGTTTTGAGCTCTGGCGAGTTGCTCCTCACCACAGTTGAATTAATAAAACCAAATACAAGTAAAGAAACCGTTTGGAAACTTTTAGCAGCATTTTTTAAGAAGAGAGGCAACTGCAGGCTAAATACTGGAGCAGACAGCCTTACTAATTAAAACAGGTAAGCTTGTCCTAGTACCTTATTTATCATATATAAATAAAACCATAAATTATCATTTATAGGAGAAAACTGTATACTGTTCTTTGTGCAAAACAGTTTACTTTGAAACAAAGGTTAATCCTTTTTTAAACTAAAATATTCAGCTTTATTCTTTATAGACAAATGGTATAGATGAGGGGGGGTCTGAGACTTTTTTTTAGCTCCCGGCCTACAGAGTGGAAAGAAGAAAGAAAAGGAGGAAAAGTCAAATGCACCGACTAAAAGGGATGGACGGCAGGAGAGGACAGAAGGGGCTCCTGGAAGGACAGAGGGAATAAACTAAAGGATATTAAAATGAAATAAAGAAAGGAGACAATCAGGAAAAGAAAAAGAAAAATACAAGGAGGGTGGAAAAAAACGGAAAGCAATAACACATTTTGACAATAGCCTGAAAATATTGTTTTTTCCCCAAAATTTTTTCATTACCATCTGGACCTGTTAATACTGAAATCCTATTTCGGACTACAGCTGCAATTAACTATTATTTTTAAAATCTATTAACCTGTCGACTATTTTTGTGATTAATTGATTAATAACCAGTTAGCCAAAAGTTCCTTAAATTAGATTTTTTTACGCAACTAAACCAGGTGAAACTTAAACTTATCCACTTGAGTGCTGGATAGAGCATATTGACAGACTAAATGTTTTTCTTTTTATCTTAAATGCTAAATGTTTATATATTAATTTACATTATTTATATAATTACTGCTCTAAGTGGATTACTCTGTCCGCTAAAGGCATGAGTTACAGCCTCTGCATTCCAGTTAATAATTAATTGATAACTAAATCAGTTGACTATAATTTAAATAATATTAATCTGATTGTTTCAGCCCTATTCCGGACTTTTTTAAAAGATGGTATAGAAACTAATTATTTGGTAGGAATTGATTATAAATCCTGTAATTTTTATAGCAGAAATTGGGCTGAGGTTATTTAGTTTAATTTCTGAGGAATATTTCAGGACTCCAACATGGATTGGAATTATCGCTGAATGAATAGAAACTATGAATATAAGATTTTAGCTAAAATGAATAACTAATAATTATGCTGTTATTTTGTTTAATGTTTTGAGATAAACAGTATAGTAGTTTTACTTTAAAGTAAGACACTCCTACCGGCCCATGCCTAGAATGCTGCATCTTTGAAGGAAAAGCCTTTGGAAAGCAGGTCAAATGTTCCCCTCAGACGCCACACCCTTCATAACACTAGTTCCTCTGGTCTGTGACGCATCGATGTCTAATCCTTCCTGGTCTGGTTCCAGACTGAGGCAGAAGCTTAGAAAAAAACAAAACAAAAATGAAACTACTTTCCACATTCCTGAGAGGACAAGTACCATCCAACAACTTCAAACCCTTACTAAGTTCAATAACGTAAGACAGGAGGGCCCAACAAACACGCCCACTACATGATGCGCTCGCTCCAAGCCATGCAGATGAGGATTATCAAAAACGCACATTAGCTCATGGAATCACACCACAAATTACAATAAAAAAAAAAAAAGGATGTAACAGTGATATTTCTTTACACAACCACATTAAGTGCTGAAGTTGTCAGGAGGTTGAGGATATACCGTGTCACGCATAGGGCTCTTTGACTGGTAAAAAATAATTCCTACTATATACAAATGCAAGAATTTTGTTATTAGGGGTAATGTCTTTTTTTGGAAAATATATTCATTTATATATACGGCTTTGAATATCGTATTTAAAAAAAATTCACTATGTAATTGGCACTTGGAATCACTAAACCCGTTATACGTACAGTAATCATCCTGCAAATAATTCAGTTAGACTGTAATCTTTTTTCTTCTAGCTTCTTGTCAAACATAATCTGTAATTACAAAGGTAAAAGGATCCATTTTTGTCCTGGAGACAGTGTTTAAAAGCAGCTTCTACAAAAAGAAAAACAAAAAAAAAAACACCCAAGCCCGATTCATCCTATTTTTCTTTTCATTTTTTTTAAACACACCAAAAGACTTTAAAGCCTTGTTCTGGACTATATTTCTTCTTTTTAAGAGAAAGGGGAGGGGGTCTTAGAGAGCACATCGTTGCTCTGTGTTTAACCAGAAACCACGAAAAAGTAAAAATTCTGTTTCCAAAAGCAACTAAAAAAAAGCTTACACAGTTATTCTTTTCATGCAGTCATATAAAATACTATAGTTCTGTTTTCTGTTAGGCTATACTTGGATATTTACAGGTTTTCTTTGTATCATACAGTAAATCTGTACACAGTCAGTCCACTATGAGACTCTTTCACAAAAAAAAGTCAATTATCGTCGGCGTAAGGTGTATTATTTTTTTTTTCTTTCAAAGTCTCCCTGAAGACTGGAGCTCCCTCTTGACTTGAACTTCCTCCGGCCTTAAGCTTCCGTGACGGCTATTTCTGAGTTCCTTATGAACTCAGAGCTTTTACTCTCCTAGATATAATAGCTTTTTAATCAAGGAGGGGAAGGCTGTCGCTTTTTTTGGAGGGTAGGTGAGGTCTGTGACATCCAGGAGACCTTCACAGACACAGCAGTTTCTACAGCTTCCATCCAGGAGTCATTGCTGCTGGTTGACACTGTCAGTCCTGTGTGACGACGAGGCTTTCTGCGGTTTCTGCGGCTGTGGTTTTAGCTGCTGCTGGTGCCTCTGATGGTGAGATTGTTGTTGCTTTTGTTGCCTTTGCTGCTGCTGCTGTTGTTGTTGTTGCTGTTGTTGTTGTTGCTGTTGTTGTTGATGTTGTTGCTGCTGCTGCTGCTGCTGTTGTTGTTGCTGTTGTTGTTGCTGTTGTTGTTGATGTTGTTGCTGCTGCTGATGTTGCTGCTGTTGTTGCTGTTGAAGAGTTGCCTGGGTGAAAGCGCCCTGCTGCTGGAGAGGAAACGCTGCCTGCAGAATCAGCTGGGTAGACTGATTATTGTGAAGGAGACGAGTGCCCTAGCAGTAAAAAGACATTTTTTTTTTAGAAAGTCAAAATACTTAGTAGCTCATCATCATCATCATATCTTGTTGCTGAAACTCCAATAAGCAATACATTTTGCTGCAGCAACCGTTTTGGTTATATCAGGTAGGTCTAATCCAGTTTTTATTGCTAACTGAAGTGTGTGCTCTATAACACATAATAATAACTGAACTTTATTAAACTCACACTGGAGAAATGAACCTCTGCATTTAACCCATCCCCTTGGAGAGCAGTGGGCAGCCATTGTGTGGCTCCCAGGGAGCAGTGTGGGGTTGAGGTTTTGCTTGGGATTCCAGAGTGCAGGCTGTGGGGATCGAACAGGGTACTTGCAACATTCTCAGAGCACAAGTGCACTGCTCTAACCACTAGGCCAACACTCCCCTTCAAACCCATAGAATAAGCCAATTAGGCCAGTTTTGCACTCACAGAATACGCATGATTTCTGTCTCAGACCTTTAACATGGTTGACCTTTCATTTTCTCCAGTACGTTTTTCAACCACCGCTGCCAATATACCAGCTGAACCATATTATTACATTAAGATCCATGTGATTGCAGAGATACCAGGATCATTCATATCATTTGGATAGAAAACTTTTGACTTTAAGGTTGGGCAAGGTCAGTTCTACAGATTCCATTCAGATAATTCAGAAAAAACAAAGGTCACGCGTCAATTACACATTCTAACCATTTTTTGTATATTGTTTATACAAAAAAACTGTTTCCAAAGAGTCAAAAAAAACCTGAAAAATAAATCTTTGTTTTTCAGAAGGAGGCATATGTACAGCCAACATATGACAGGAAATACACACAGACAGCATGATGTCTTTAAATGGGCTCACTCTGCCCTCCTCTGTTACCTGCAGGAACTGCTGTTGCTGCTGCCCCTGCTGGCTGTTTTGTGCCACTACAGCTGCTTGGTTTTGGCTGTCAGGCTGACACTGAGTAGATTGGGCCGGTTGTAGAGTCAGGGTCTGGGTCTGCCCCCCCTGCTGAGGTGAAACATAAAAAAAAATACAGTTAGAATAAAGTAAGGGACATTCCTGCTTTTCCAAATACTTTACCTTAACGGGCTTATTGCTCCTGTGAATGAGAGATTCAGACTAGATGCACAGCTTCATCAACACATTACTCAACAATGAAACTGACAGGTACTGGTGATATGCACTGAACATATTAGTCTGGAGATTTTCTTGTGATATAGATCAAACTGAAAGTATGTTTTGATGTCACCACACTGTCAAAGCCCCCAAAACAAAAATACTGCCATTATAAATAAACATTAATTATTACTGAAATGACGACTTTAATACAACAGTTATGATTAGTAGTGTAATTGTATGGCTTAAAAGTAAAACAAATTATAATTTCTGTATATTTATATGTGGAACAGCAGTAGAAAAGGGAGTAAAAAAGCAACATAAAAGCGATAATATAACTCAGATGGTTAGCATCATAACTAATGCCAATTCACATAATACTAAAACAAGGTTGTGAAATCGATTATAATAAAAGATTACTTAGTTTTAAGTTATTTTACATATATTTTTTAGAGGTGTTCAGACAGATTTGTCTGTTCATAAATCACAGGGCAGATACGGGATCATCTACCTCATATGGATGTTTATTTACCTGCTGGCCGCCAAAGGGGTTGTAGGCTGTAACAACCTGCCCCATAAACATAGAGGTGGGCACCATCACAGCACCACATGCATGCATGGGAGTTGTCACAAAGCTTGGTTACTAGCTGCTGCCCTGCTGGGAATCTGGGGAAGAAAGAAAATTATTTGGACATTTGTAACCATTATTAAAAACATGAGTCCCTAAATTTTCTTCTCTGCTTACCGGATCTGCCGGTCCTGTGTGAAGGTAGCTACAGCAGTGCCCTGCTGCGTGTTGTTCTGAGGGAGGCTGGTGCTGATCTGCAGCACGTTTGGCTGTCCTGGCTGAGAAATCATCATGGTGTTGTACAGCGGAGCAGAAACGGATCCCTGGGCCTGAGGCTGGGTCTGAGCAGCTTGCTGTGGCTGACGCTGGATGTTCAAGAGAGCAACAAAGTTGGACAGGTTTTTTCAACTTACAGAAGATTTGTCTTAAAATATTATTGGTCCAATATTGCAACACTCTTTAGATGCATCTTCTATATAAATTATATACTGAATAATATAAAATATAATAAAAAACAGGTGCAAAACATCAATGCTTTGCAATGAGTAAAACATAAATAAAATAATTTTAAGATAAATATGTGAGACAAAGTATTACCGCCTATAAATCCATGAAATTTATCCACAGACATTTTCCCCAAACAACATGATTCAATTTACAGGTGCTGGTCATAAAATTAGAATATCATGAAAAAGTAGATTGATTTCAGTAATTCCATTTAAAAAGTGAAACTTGTATATTATATTCATACATTACATACAAACTCATATATTTCAGATGTTTATTTTGTTTAATTTTGATGATTACAAATGACAACAAATGAAAATCTCAAATTCATCATATCAGAAAATTAGAATATTGTGAAAAGGTTCAAAATTGATGGCCCCTGGTGCCACACTCTAATCAGCTAATTAACTCAAACCACCTGCAAAAGCCTTTAAATGGTCTTTCAGTCTAGTTCTATAGGCTACACAATCATGGGGAAGACTGCTGACTTGACAGTTGTCCAAAAGACGACCATCGACACCTTGCACAAGGAGGGCAAGACACAAAAGGTCATCGCTAAAGAGGCTGGCTGTTCACAGAGCTCAGTGTCCAAGCACATTAATAGAGAGGCGAAGGGAAGGAAAAGATGTGGTCGAAAAAAGTGTACAAGCAAGAGAGATAACCGCACCCTGGAGAGGATTGTGAAACAAAACCCCTTCAAAAATGTGGGGGAGATTCACAAAGAGTGGACTGCAGCTGGAGTGAGTGCTTCAAGAACCACCACACACAGACGTATGAAAGACATGGGTTTCTGCTGTCGCATTCCTTGTGTCAAGCCACTCTTGAACCACAGACAGCGTCAGAAGCGTCTTGCCTGGGCTAAAGAGAAACAGGACTGGACTGCTGGTGAGTGGTCCAAAGTCATGTTCTCTGATGAAAGTAAATTTTGCATTTCCTTTGGAAATCAAGGTCCCAGAGTCTGGAGGAAAAGAAGAGAGGCACTTCATCCACGTTGCTTGAAGTCCAGTGTAAAGTTTCCACAGTCAGTGATGGTTTGGGGTGCCATGTCATCTGCTGGTGTTGGTCCATTGTGTTTTCTGAGGTCCAGGGTCAACGCAGCCACATACCAGGAAGTTTTAGAGCACTTCATGCTTCCTGCAGCTGACCAACTTTTTGGAGATGCAGATTTCATTTTCCAACAGGACTTGGCACCTGCACACAGTGCCAAAGCTACCAGTACCTGGTTGAAGGACCATGGTATCCCTGTTCTTAATTGGCCAGCAAACTCTCCTGACCTTAACCCCATAGAAAATCTATGGGGTATTGTGAAGAAGAAGATGCAATACACCAGACCCAACAATTCAGAAGAGCTAAAAGCCACTATTAGAGCAACCTGGGCTATCATAACACCTGAGCAGTGCCACAGACTGATCGACTCCATGCCACGCCGCATTGCTGCAGTAATACAGGCCAAAGGAGGCCCAACTAAATACTGAGTGCTGTACATGCTCATACTTTTCATGTTCATACTTTTCAGTTGGCCAACATTTCTATAAATCCTTTGTTTTTATTGGTCTTCAGTAATATTCTAATTTTCTGATATGATGAATTTGGGATTTTCATTTGTTGTCATTTGTAATCATCAAAATAAAACAAAATAAACATCTGAAATATATGAGTTTGTATGTAATGTATGAATATAATATACAAGTTTCACTTTTTAAATGGAATTACTGAAATCAATCTACTTTTTCATGATATTCTAATTTTATGACCAGCACCTGTATATCATCAACAGCACCTTGGAAAACTTAACAACAACTTTTCCACAATTTGTCACCACAGATTTTTTTTGGACAAAAATCTGTGTATTTTGTTTGTAATTTCTAAAAAGGCCAAAGTAATGCTGCTTTTTATGTAGAGGCTGGGAAATAAAATCCTTCTGCTCTGTGAGAGCCTCTGAGGTTTGTTAAGGAACATTGTAAAAATAAAACCAAAAAAAACTCTCCATTCTACAAAGTTTTATCACATCTGCCTCCAGCAAATTATCCCGTTTTCTCCTAAATGCATTATTAGAAACTACCTTGTGTATGTATATCATCAACCTGTATCAAAAGCAGCTGTAGCCCATGTTAACTCTACAGGAGCTGCAGGTCAACTGAAAATAATAATAAAAAAAAGAACTTCTCTAGAACCCCTTTAACAAAGAATAATCCTTAATAAAATGAAGAACATTATCAGAGATGGGAAGTAACGAAGTACAAATACTTTGTTACTGTACTCAAGTAGATTTTTCTGATATTTTTACTTTACTTTACTACTTATTTTTATGGCGACTTTTTACTTCTACTCCTTACATTTTTACACAAATATCTGTACTTTCTACTCCTTACATTTAAAAAAATTGGCTCGTTACTTTAGTTTTGAATCATTTCAATGGAGTTACCGTTATTATTTTTCACGTCATCAATACCAAATTCAATCTAATTGGATGGGAATCTACGTTGCATTTGACGCACCACTACAAGATGAATCGACAGATTCGGCGGTATTCATTGGCGGCAAATCATTGCAGCTTGGTGGCGGTGGCGTTAGCATAGTAGTATGGACGACGAGATGATTGAAAATGAACACAACGGAGATCTAGTCCTATTGGCAGACATCCATTTAAAATGTAGGCAACAGCATGAAAAAAGTGGTTTCTACTTTTACTTTTACACTTTAAGTAAATTTACAAGGCTGTACTTTGTTACTTTTACTTGAGTAAAGAAGTTTAATCAGTACTTCCACTTTCACTTTTAGTATTTTTTAACACAAGTATCTGTACTTTTACTCAAGTACGGAAAGTCAGTACTTTTGCCATCTCTGAACATTATGGACAACACTAAACCCCCTCTTCATCAGACTTCATCTGTCTTCTCCAGATCCACTAAAAGACTGAACAGTTCTAATGTAACAAACTGTGGAAAAATGATTCCCTTTGAATCAGAGAGAAAACTGATATATTTTAATCTGAACAGGCTTTTATCAGGAGTGTGTGTCTGTATGACCCACCTGTGTGAGTGTGTTGGTCTGCTGCTGTAAGCTCTGCTGAGTAGGAGGAGGAGGAGGAGGAGCTTGCTGCTGAATGGTGAGCTGCTGAGATCCAGAATGAAGGAGATTAACTGAGGGTTGCTGGACCTGACCAGTCAAAGTAGCTGCTTGCTGGACCGACCCCCCCTGTGGGAGCTGTACGTTCATCGCTCCACCCTGCTGTTGCTGCTGTTGCAGCAACATCTAATGGAGATATTGAATGTTAGAACAAAGCGGTGGAAGAAAAAAAATAGATTTTTCATGACTGTGCTATTTTGGTGGTTTAATCAAACAGGATTTACAAACAGGGGAAAATGTTATGAACCCCATCAGTCAAAAATATGTCTTTCATCCAAGTTAGGTAAAAACAAAGCAATCTCCTGCTCTAAAAAAGAACAGAGGTAGAGATTAAATTTCCCTCGTTTTCAAAGGCTTTTTTTGCAATTTGGAAACTAATGTGCATGATACCACACAGCTACTGTCTAACATTACTCTGTCAAGTCCTAAATACATAGAATAGAAGATCCCAAAATTGTCCCACAATTTGGAAATTCTGGTGTTACAACAGACATGTACAGACATCATGAATAATTATACGTTAATAGACTTAATGTTGATGCTGTAGAATGAGGAATAGTTCAGAGCCCACCTGTATGCCCTGTCCCTGGACTCTCTGCAGCTGGTCCTGGATGTGCCTCAGCTCCTCCTGCTGCCGCTGGATGTTGGCCTGGATCATTCGGGTTCTCTGCTCCAGCTGATCCTTCAGGTGCTGCATGGCATTCACCTGTGCTGAGAACTCCATCACCGGCTTGAGAAGGCAACAGAAAATAGAATAATAGTACACTCCTGTATCAACGGAACAAGACAAGTCCTTTAGTATATTAGTTTGTTAATTCTCTTTCTGGAAGTTTCCTTTCTTACAATCTTTATCTGCTTTTCCTTCATCTCTGCATCCCAAGAAAATTTTATAATCTTTTTATATTTCATAAATGTGTAACTAGATAATGTAGCGTCAGTTCATTTTATTACGCCAATGCAAGTCTGCCAGTGAAACATTGCATGGGTATTTAGCGCCCCGCTGGTGTTTCTAGGTTACTGCAGATCTCTCCACTGAGGAAGGTGGGAATCATATCACGGTTATAGCACAGCAATTCTTACCTGTAAATTTGTCTGATGTTGCTGCTGCTCTTGCTGTTGCTGCTGCTGCTGCTGTTGATGCTGTGTGATCAGACCAGGATTTAAACTCTGCCCTGTGGTCTGAGAACTCATAGACTGCAAATACAAAAAACACTGGTAAGAAATGTGTTTTAATTGATCTGGTTATTCAAAGATATCACCTGGGCTTCATTTGGTAGAATACTAGGTCTTTAATCTGACACATAAATACAACTTTAGCTTCATAACAAGGATCAGATAGGCAGGGGCGGAGCTAGAGGGGGGCCATGGCCACCTTAAATCAATCATTGGCCACCCCTGTGGCCACCTCCACTACCTTTTCACCCTAATACAGACAGTGGCAACAGTAGAACTCTCAAGTGGAATATTCAAACCATTTTAATTTTTCATATATTAACATTTACATGAAAACAGAGACACTGTTGTTAATTAAGCACATAATTAAACTGAAATTAAAGATCAGTACATAATTCATGCTCTTTTCAGAACTAGATTTTGTGTATATGGGGTAAAGAGAAAATTGTGTCTCTGCAAGTCATCTAGGAGTCTTCAGTGAAATAATAGATATAATAACTATTTTAATAAAAACATATTAAATTATCAATTTATGTAGATATTTTTACTTGTAAAAATAATTTTTTTGCAGAATGATTATTGATCAAATTAAGTAATGACAATGGGAAAGATGCTTGCCCCAGAACTTAAAACTGAGAGAATTGTATCCACTATATATGCGTCTATTTGGTACCAAAGGCTGTAGGAAACGATAGTTTGTCTTCATTTAAAAAATATTGATGTTGTGCTAATTATTTTCTTCTTGGAACAGTGTAGCTTAACCCTGAGGTCCTGGTGCTTATCCACTTTCGGCCACCCCTCATCGTACATTGGTTATTGCCTGGCCACACTTATAAAAAAAATTTCTGGCTACGCCTCTGCAGATAGGACGGCATACAAATGGCTTTGAATCTGCTAGAAAGACTAGATTTACATGTTCATTTTTATAGCATGGAGAGACGATTGGTTGAGAATTTGCAAAAAATATACAAACTGAGCTGAAACTAGTTTACTTTGTCCAATACGTACCTATGACATTTTAACAAGTAGGTCCTAACAGTGTCAAATTAGCACATTCATATATAAAATGTTGAACAAAGTGCTTCACAGTTATTCAAAGTGAACTGACTGAAAAACAACATCTGTAAGGACACAACAAATATCTACCAAGGTAAAGAAAATATAGAAAAACACAATCTGCTGGAGATGAACACAAAAACAACAAAAGATGGGTTTTATAACCCTCAATTGTTCCTATAAGAAAACTAGCTGATAGAACAACAGCTTTACTTTCACAAGTAGATTTATCTATAAATTGTTCATACGTTTAGAGCAGAAAAACCTGATCACATCTCAGTTTCAAAACATAGAATTCAGTCTTTTCTTTTTAAATTGGAAGAACCTTTTACTCTCATTAGTAATATGATCCATGTCCTCCCCTCACTTTAAAACACTAGCAGAGACTGTTTTTGAAGTTTTAGACAAGTGTTTAAATATTGTGGTAAAAATGTTGATAAAAAAAAACATCCAACAGAATTACAGGTCATTATTTTAACAATCTTTTCAAACCTGGCTGCTGATGGACGAGCGTGTCTGAGATGTCATCTCCACGTTGGAGGCCAGGGACTGCCGAGGAGGCGTGGCCATGTCCATGTGTAGCTTTGGAGCTGTTGCTATGGAGACAGAATTACTGGTGACCCTCCAAATAATCACTTGCCATCCTTTTTATACTTAAAGTAAAATTGTTACAGATTATTTTCTGAATTCAGTTTGACTTATTTGACAGGGACAATTAATATTAATAAATGTCACTGTAAATGAACCAATTATTTTAAAGTAATTGGCTATTTTTCATGTTGTCCATTGATTATCTAACTTGTTAAAACATAAAAAAAGTTTTGTAACTGTGACCAGATAAATCTTACACGTGCAAGTGATGTCCGAGACATGAGACGAGGACTTCCGGGAGCTTCGCGAGGACGTTGACGGCGTTCGGCTCTGGTCAAACCGTTCCAGGGCTTCCTTCAAGCTGGACGTGTTCAGCTGTGACTCCGAGCCAGAGTCCTGACTCTGCAGATTTACAGAAACAACCCCAAAAATGAGCAAATACAAATAGCTTTTGGTGGATGTGAACATAAAACACAAAATAGAAGATAAAATTAGTGACAAACAAGCAAAACACAAATCTGATTTGTTTGAATGCATGTTGAAAAACAGCTGTTCGTTTTTACTGCATAGATTCTTTCAAAATGCTATTTTCCAAAATCCTCACATTTTTTTCATGTTAGACAAAGGTACATTCTACAGCAAGATTCTCCATCCTCTGAAATCCAAAGAGCCATTTTGCTACAACTCCACCCAAACCAACGTGGTACAGCGCTGCAATCCTTACACACGCTTTAGACAAAACACAACTTATTGTTTTTGTTAAATATCTGCTACAGGAAATCTGATGCCGTTTCTTTTGTGTTATAAAGAAAAACATTTCCAGAACAATGAGTAAAAAAAAAAAAAAGGCTTTAAAAGCATTATTGGTTGTTTCAATGTTGTCCTATTGGAAAAATTCAGCCCCTGGCCAAGGCCTTTTTCAGCTCTAGCCTAGAATAAATCTCACCAATGCTCTGGTCTTTCAGGGTTTCACTCAAGAAAAAAGTAATTAACGAACAATAAAAAAAAAATGATAAGATTGGGTGACACGCAGTACCTGCTGTTTTGTGATACCAAATTTAGCCCAAAGTTGCCGATCTGATCATAGTGTTAACCTTCACACGTGCTTTCCAATAGGTGTGTGGTGCAGTCAAACTCTGCTATCTGCTTAGCTCCGTCTCTGCACTCGAGCTTCACTCAGCAGCTCACTGCTCTCACTACTTAAACGACATGTGGCCGAAAAACAGCAACCACAGCATATTTAGTCTAATTTTGAGGATTGTATTTCTTCCATTTCATGAGAGTTGATTTAAAACTTTATTTCATTTCTCCCAAGGAAATCCCCATATTATATTCAAAATCAATATTTCATTCTTATACTATTTATTTGTATATAAAGACCCACATGAAAAAGACACATAGACCTTGGAATATTTCTCTCTTTAATCCTCTTTTTCTATCCATCGAATTAGAAAGTTGTTCTCTTGTATTTTCATAAAAATTATTCTTTTAAAAATAAGTTCAGGATTTTCATGACATGATAAGGCAATTTTTAAAACAACGAAACGATTAAGTGGGTGTACTGGGTGAAACTAATGTAATCATTTTAGTTTTTGTTACCAAGTACTAATCTTTTTTTAGATCTTTCTTTAAAGAACGGCCTCTTTAGGTGCTGCATCAGCCTCAGTAAAAGGGGGAAAAAAATCTAGATTAGTCAGCATTAAATATTTACTTTATTATTTATTCTTTAACTCGAATAATCAAAATGGAGAAGCTAGAGGCAAGAAATCAAAAATAAAGTCTAACTTAGCTGTAATATTTAGATTATACTGGTATATATTTTCAAAGATGCCTGCAAGGTTGAAGAAAACAATATAAACCAGTTACTTTTTAGTCCCAGCAAGAATTCAAAATCATCCCTGCTCTTTGTTTCATCCAAAAGGGAAAACGATTCATTTCCAAAGTGTTTTTAACAATCTGTTGATCTATTATAAAAAAAAAAAGCCATTTTACCCAGATAAAACTCCCCGAGATTCCCCCAATAGTGTGTGGGCTCAGCCCCCAGTGTTCCTGGGTCCAGGAAACGCCTCTAATTCTGCTCAGAAATGTTTTTTAAAACCTAATAGAACTTTCCAACATGGGTGGAGGTTATCGTCCCATATCTAAAACCTTTAGTTGGTTCTTCATCAGCCCAGGAGCCACAGGTTTCAAAACCCTGATCTAAAGCATCTTAACCACAGCTACCGAACAGTTAGATGTAGGGATGCACTAAAAGCACTGAAGCAATAGAGCTCAGGTTGTGGAGCAGAGTTTTTCCAGTGTTTAACCAACGGCAGACAGACTTTCATGGATGGGTTGCGAGTTTAATTGCTGCACATCGGTCTCACTGCACGCTCAACTGACAACGAGAATCGAGAATTGATAAGAACTGTTTTTAACCTTCAATCCTCCCAGAATCCTATTTTTTTAATATTATATATGAATTCCAAGTTTCTATGACCAGTTCAACAACTGCTAATAGAAGCTGCCTATCATCAGCAAAGAAGAATCAACAGGAATGATTGGGCAACCATCTGTTTGGCCTGCTGCGTTAGAAGGTGAGGCTTAAAGATTCATAGCGAACCTTCTGCAATGAGAGCAGATCTGATAGACTTAAGCAATTTTAAGTATAACTTCATTGTGTATTTTAGTTTACTTGGAATCCCTTTCATATGATAAAACCCACTAACTGAATGATAGAGGAAGAAATCTGACTGTTCCTCTGCCCACAGAAGTAAAACATGGGTACCTGCAGGGTTCTCACCAGCATATTAAAGCGTTAAAAAAGTCACAATTACTCTGAAAATCAGGCCGTGCTGATTTTTTCTGACCATAACGGCCCTTAGAATGACATCTGGGCTTCCTCTAAAACAGCTTTCGACACAGCCTCTAATTAAGCTTAAAGTTTACAATGGAAATATACCTTTTTATAACTTTAAATGAGTGCAACAGCCAGAGGCAGGTGCCTTGCTAATGTTGATTTACCTATAATATGCAAATTTTGTGATGACATAATTTAGTAAAATGTAACTCTGTGAAAAGAGAAAGCATGAGATTATATCAGGCTTCATAGCTTTGATGTTTTAATACTAGTAAAAAAAAAAAAAGTAATAATTTATGGTGTCATTCACACAAAGTTAATCCGTTCAAGGACCATTCAGACCATTTCATCCAGACAGAACTCCAATTAACCAGCTAATTAATAACATGTACATTTTTTCAATCCTTCCTCTTAAAAGTATCAGTATTGAGAATCAGAAGGAACTGGAGTAAAATGACAAATCAGAATCAGAACCAGAATAGTTCAAATTCAAATGCACTAGCGACTACTCTCCATGAGCTTTGGTAACTTGGCCAGTAAAATGTACAGCAGGTATTGACACCAAAGGAAGATATAGTCCAACACATCAGCTCTTGTATATACGGTAAGTGGGATGCAGAATGTAAATCAGCCCTGACTTATTCTAGGAGAAAATGGCTGAAATCTGTACTTTACAAATGCTCCTACTTTTTTTTCCTACTCGCACAAACCTATGTTTAAGTGCAAATGCGAGTAAAACGCTCACATTTTACAGCCTCTGTGTACAACGGTGTGTTTCTTTGTATATTCAGGACTACAGAGGAGATGGTTGGTCATGATGTATTATTTCTTTATATTCTGAAAAACAAAGCAGCAGCTTTTTGGTGGCCACCAGGTGGTATTTTCATTGTCAGCCTAAACGAGCACAACAGCAAGTACTTTTCTGGAGACTATTTAGATTTTGTATCAGTTTGTCTTTTAACCTTTAAGGTTACTCATAAAACAAATTAAATTGTCCCAACGGAGCACATCCCAGGGTCCAAATGAATAACTTTAATCAATGGCGTAAATATCGGTAAGCAGAGACAGCAGTTGCTTAGCCCTTAAGAGGTTGTGGGCCCCATCAATGACACCTGGCGGACCCCTACACAATTGAAGACTAGGACGTCTCTTTGCAGAGAATTTCCTCTTCAACCCACCCGATACTGAAGTGACTGACCGCACCGGCCTGTATTTATATCCCAACACAAGGCAGATTTCAACATTATGGTGAGCCGTTTAAACACACCAATAGCAAAGCAGACAGTGGTACTTTTAACTACTATGTAAATAACTGTGTATAGTTCATTAGACGGTTGGTAAAAAAAATACATATATATACTCATATAATATGTTTCAAACCGCAATAAAGATCTTCAAAGAACAATGTATATGATTATTTTATTTTTTACATTACAACTTGGAATTATGGGTAACTCAAAGCGTAGATTAAAACCATAACCGTTACGTACAATGTGTTAGCGACGATGGATACCAAAAAGCAGTACTTAAGCGGATTTCTGAAAAGAAAAAGCAAAGAAAAGCTGCTGGAAGAACGGAAAAGACTTCCCAAAATAAACAAAGAACCGAAGAGGGAGAGGTGGACGGTGCTGCTACAGTGGAAGAGGGAGAGGTGGACGGTGCTGTTACAGTGGAAGAGGGAGAGGTGGACGGTGCTGCTACAGTGGAAGAGGGAGAGGTGGACGGTGCTGTTACAGTGGAAGAGGTGGACGGTGCTGCTACAGTGGAAGAGGGAGAGGTGGACGGTGCTGCTACAGTGGAAGAGGGAGAGGTGGACGGTGCTGCTACAGTGGAAGAGGGAGAGGTGGACGGTGCTGCTACAGTGGAAGAGGGAGAGGTGGACGGTGCTGTTACAGTGGAAGAGGGAGAGGTGGACGGTGCTGCTACAGTGGAAGAGGGAGAGGTGGACGGTGCTGTTACAGTGGAAGAGGGAGAGGTGGACGGTGCTGTTACAGTGGAAGAGGGAGAGGTGGACGGTGCTGTTACAGTGGAAGAGGGAGAGGTGGACGGTGCTGCTACAGTGGAAGAGGGAGAGGTGGACGGTGCTGCTACAGTGGAAGAGGGAGAGGTGGACGGTGCTGCTACAGTGGAAGAGGGAGAGGTGGACGGTGCTGCTACAGTGGAAGAGGGAGAGGTGGACGGTGCTGCTACAGTGGAAGAGGGAGAGGTGGACGGTGCTGCTACAGTGGAAGAGGGAGAGGTGGACGGTGCTGCTACAGTGGAAGAGGGAGAGGTGGACGGTGCTGTTACAGTGGAAGAGGGAGAGGTGGACGGTGCTGTTACAGTGGAAGAGGGAGAGGTGGACGGTGCTGTTACAGTGGAAGAGGGAGAGGACGGGCTGCTACGGGGGTGCGAGAGGTCATTGAATCAAGTGGAAGAGGGGAGAGGTGGGGAACGGTGGGCTGCTACAGTGGGGAAAGAGGGCGTGAGGAGTGGGACGGTGGCAGTTACAGTGGACGAGTGGGAACGGTTGGCCTTGCATACAGTGGAAAAGGTTAGGATAAACCGGTGGGGCCCTGCTTAC